ACTGCCTTTACAGAGGGAATCCTATTCTACCTGCTCTTGTGAAGCTTGCTTTTTTACTTACTTCTAATGAATGGTCACATATCAGTGCATCCTACTATGTGGCACAATACTTAAGAATTTCACAGAAACTTATCAAATGGATATATCATATAAATAACATACCCACTATTATTGGATATTTTGGTAATTTCCAATGTTTTTTATTATAAACACTGCTTCAGAGCATATCATTTTACATAACTCTTAGAATGCCTGTTTGATTATTTCCTATGGATAAATAAATATCTAGATATATAAGTATATAAAGCAGAATTTACTAAAGGTAATACAGAAACGGCTACAATCATACATTGACAGAGAACTTCCAAAGGTTCAAGCCAGATTCAGAAGAGGCCGTGGAATGAGGGATAGCATTGCTGATGTCTGATAGATCTTGGCTGAAAGCAGAGAATATCAGAAAGATAATGGAATTATCTTTGTGAGGTTGGCCCAGGACTGGGCAATGTTTTGTTATGTTGTACATAGGGTCGCTATGAGTCGGTATTGACTCGATGGCACTAACAACAACAACAAAGCAGAATTACTAGGTTGAAGTCTAGATAAATATTTGAAGCATTTTAATATTATGAAACTTTTGTAATGGGATGTTTTCAAACTTTGACAGAACAACTAAGAGTCTCTTTCCTACCCGTACTGGTACAGGGACTACCAAGAAGTGACTCTGATATGGCATTTAGCAGCTAGGATTAGTGTGCTATTTAGAAATTAGTTGCTTGCATCATATTTTAACAAAATTCATTAGACCTTCAATAAAAAGCAATCATAAGATCCATTTGATCTAAGAATCTGGACAGATCGGTGATGTGATTCCAAAGGCAGACAGAATGGCCTGGGGTTGCCACATGCAAATACAAGCTCCAGAGACATTTGTGTTAACTGCCCCTGTGATTTCTGGTGTAAGAACCATGATCTAAAACCACCTTTTCCAGATGGAAAGACAGTCATGGACAAAGTGAAGACTAAACACACAATTAAAAGACAGGGATTTGTGATTATCAGTGGATACTCTGCCTGAGAAATAGTAACCAACCTCCCTTACACAGTCACACACTGTTGCTGGCCCAGTATAAAATATTACACCTGTGTTGCCTCATGTAAGCCTCAGAACAAACCTCTAAGTAAAGTGCCATGACTGTCCCAGTTACCAGCTGATAAGGAAGAAAAAGCTGACGCTAAGCAAAGATCTCTGTGTGCTTGGAGAGTTTTCCATGGGGGAAACTCCTGGTTTGTAGGCATCCTATATCATTTTTCTTTGGGACTAGCCACAGTTCTCTGTTTATACCATTAAAAGATTGTGAGAGTCCCTATCCAGAACCTTCTGAGGTGGGACATTCCCACTAGCAAGGACAAGTAGACCCGCACGGAACAGCTAGAGCCACAGAAGATACATCTTCAAAGAAAGATCAGCAGGAAAAATCCAAAGCAAAAATGGCAGTATGACTGGTTACTACAAGAACATGCAAGCTGTTCACTGGGGATCCATCAAGGCAAGCAATCAAGTCCCTTCAGGGCAAACCCCCCTCCAAAAGTGAAATTCAAAGGGAATACATGAGCAGGCATGTAAGCTTGCTGGCATTAGTCTACTAGTGAGTGTAAGAGGGGGAAAGGCAGCAATAGACGCCCATTGACCTGGAAATGAGAGAAAGAAGAGGAAGGGCTGGTTAGTCTGAAATGTGGTGAGATCTGGGAACTCCTGAGCCCATGGACAAGGACATAGCCACAGAGGACTAGAGCTGAGAATGAAGCATACAGCTGATAAGAAGTGAAGAGAGATGCACAAGAACACCCAAACTTGCAGACAGTACCCATTTGACCTAGCCTAGATGACTTGATAATCAGAACTCAACTAGAGGAAGATAAAGTAAAATAAAATAATTTTTTGGATGAAAGAAACATGTGTAAATTGTTACAATTTGATAAACTTGACCTATACTTATGGATGTAGTAGGTCAGTGTACCAACTGAGAGGGAGGAGTCTTCACATCAAGTCTCAATCCTATCCCCTCTGTTTACAGGGTAGATAGGGGATGGGCAACTTAGACATTGGCTACCTAAAATGAGGTGGCTATAGAGGCACAAAGTGACTGACTTACAAGTTTTCAAAAGGGAGTTTAGTTTAAGAGTGTGAGGAGGAGGGTAGAGTCCCCACTGAATAGTTTTCATCTTGTCTAGACAGGTCTGGTGAAAGGAGATGGGGATAGGATTCTTGTGATTCAGTAGTGAGTAATTGTTATCCTGACTAATTGTGACTGTCACAACTGTAGAGGTAGAGGTTTTGTAACAAAAACTGGGGAGTAGTTAATCTTATAATCTGGAAACAGAGGACCCTAGAGCCATAAAGGAAGAAGCAGCAACACCAGAGATAGAGGCAGAGATGAGGACATGGAGAGAGGGAGCAGCTGAGGGCTCTAGACTCATGGAAAGAGAGGGACTGGGTGCTGGCGGCCGGGAGGCAGGCTTGCAGAATGGCCCTTTGGTTGCTTAAATGATTATATATTCCTGAGTGTTTTTGTGTACGTCCCCCTGGCCCTCCCCCCACTGCCAAAAAAAATCCAGAGGGAATGGAAGCAAATACTGTAGAATGAAGATGCACAGAGGATATTGTAATCATTGCAATGAAACGATGGTATCAAGGTGACGTTCTCCCGATTAAATTATCACTCAGTTCACAGTAAAAATTTAATATATAGATATATATATATATATAAAAATACATTGGACATTTTTAAAAAGAGAGAGAACACAGGGGAGACAGAAGGGAAAGGAAGAGAAGGGAGGCAAGACAAAGAGAGCAGCTGATTGTACAGAGTGGAAATAGTTGTCAGACAAATCATTGGGCTACTAGGATTATCTTATTTAGCAAATGAATTCTCAATGATCATTTATTTTGCGCTTCCTAGTCGCATTTCCCTGTCTCTGATGCTGACTACAAGAAAACGCCAGCGAGAGGTCTGAGTCAGGAAGTAGGGTCAGTTCGTGCCGATGCAGGAGTACTGACTGTCATGACTAAATAAAAACAATTTTGATTTATCAAAAACAAAAAAAGATTGTGAGAGTAAATCTAGGTTTCTCTATTTGTTCTTCATCAGATGAGTTGGGAAGAATATGCTTCAGCAAGTGGCCACACCTTTTACCTCACAGGGGACAGAGGGATAATGGATGAAGACGGCTACTTCTGGCTGACTGGTAGAGCTGATAAGACCATCAGTGCATGAGGACCTGGGGTTGCGGATGCTTCTGGTTACCGCTATTGAGTCTAGGGGCTGTGGAGTCTGGAAAGGGCTCTGGACCAGTCATTTCCAATCTATGGACATTATAGAAAGTCTAGAAGACGCAGACAATCAAATCTAAAAAATAAAAAAGTATTCAAAGTCTCTTATTTTGGAGTCCATTCTTCCAGTCTTCTTTCTTCTTCTACTGAAACATTTTTTTCACTTATTAAAAAAAAAAAAAGTATTGTCATAAAAAATATATAATAATGAAATGTGTAATCTTAACCAATTCAGTTACATTCACCATATTGTATAACCATCACCACTGCCTGTTTCCCAAAGTTTTTTTCTCACCCCAAGAAGGAAATTCAATACCCCTTAAGAACTAACTTCCCATTTCCTCCTCACCTAAGCCCCTGGTAGGCACTAATACACACCATTAGTATCTCTACCTCTGTGCATTTTCCTATTCTAAATATTTCATAAAGTGGAGTCATATACTGTACGTCCTCTGTGTCTGACTTAGTCCAGTCAGCACGATATGTTCAAGCTTCATCCATATTGTAGCACGTATCTGATCTTCATTTTTCTTCGTAGCAAAATAGTATTTCATTGTATGTATATGCCACATTTCATGTATTCATTCATCCATTGATGGATGCTGTTTCCACCTTTGGATATTGTGGATAATGCTGCAATGAAATTAGGTGTACAAGTAAAAGTCTTTATTCTCAAGTATCTTGAGTGTATACCTAGGAGCCGAATTGCTTGGGTCACAGGGAAATTCTATGCTTTACTTTTTTGAGGAACCACCAAACTGTTTTTCCACAACAACTGCATCATTTTATATTTCCACCAGCAATGCAAGAGAATTCTGATTTCTTTATGTCCACGCCAATACTTGTTATTTTCTGCTTTCCAGTGCAGTGGGTGCATCTCATTGTCTTTTTTATTTGCTGACTAATGATATATGGCATCTTTTCATATACTTATTGGCCATTTATATATCTTGTTTGGAGAAATGTCTGGTCAAGGTCTTTGTCCATTTTTTAATTAGGTTGTTTGTCTTTTTGAGTTGCAGGAGGAGTTCACTATATATTCTGGATATGAAACCCTTATATAACCAGATATTTGTTGCTATTTGGTACCATGGAGTCAATTCTGACTCATATCAACCTTATGCATAACATAACAAAACAAAACACTACCTGGTCCTGCTCTGTCCTCATAAATGTTGCTATGTTTGAGCCCATTGTAACTGCCACTGTATCCATGGATCTCATTGGGTGTCTTTCTCTTCTTCACGGACCTTCCACTTTTCTAAGTCTGACATCCTTCTCCAGAGATTGGTCCATCCTAAGAACATGTCCAAAGTATGAGAGACGAAGTCTAGCCATCCTTGCTTCCCAGGAGCATTCTGGGTGTACTTCTAAGACAGATTTGTTTGTTCTCTGACCATCCATGATACTTTCAATATTCTCCTCCAACACCATAATTCAAATGTATAGATTCTTCTATAATAATCTTTATTCAGTGTCCAACTCTCACATGCATATGAGATTAAAATACCATGCCTAAGTCCTCCACGTGACATCTTTGCTCTTTAACACTTGAAAGAGGCTTGTGCAACAGGTTTGCTTAATGCAATATGTCATCTGATGTGCTGACTGCTGCTTCCATTCGTGATGATTATGACTCCAAGCAAAATGAAGTCTCTGACACCTTCTTCTAAGTTTATTATGATGTTATGTACTGGTACCATTGTAAAAATGTTTGTTTTCTTAACACTGAGGTGCTGATCTTCATCAGCAAGTATTTCAAGTTCTCTTTGCTTCTTACGAGTGAGGTTGTGTCATCTACCTATAGTTATCAAATATACATAGCCAGCTATGCACCAGTTGCTCCTTGGAAACCCTATACAAGGTCACTATGAGTCAGAACCAACTTGAGGGTACTTAAACAAAAACAGCAATATGGTTGCCAAATATTTTCTCCCATTCTAGATTGTAACCGATTTTCTTGATAAAGTTCTTTAACACACACAAAAAAAATTTTTTATGAAGTCCAATCATCTATTTTTGGTTTACTTGCTCATTCTTGTGGTCTCACATCTAAGACTCATTGTCAAAAGCAAGGTCTTCTTTATTCATTGTCCAACTTTCGCATGCATATGAGGCTACTGAAAATACCATGGCTTGGGTCAGGCACCCCTTAGTCCTCAAACTGACATCTTTGCTCTTCACCACTTTAAAAAGGTGTTGTGCAGCAGATTTGCCTAATGAAATACATCATTTGATTTCTTAACTGCTGCTGCCATGGATGATGATGGTTGATCTGAGCAAAATTAAGGATTTGACAACTTCAATCTTTTCCCCATGTATCATGACTTCACCTATGGGTCCAGTGGTGAGGATTTTCATTTTCTTTACATTGAGGTACAATCCATAATGAAGGCTGTGGTCTTTGATCTTCGTCAGTAAGTATTTTAAGTCTGTTTCACTTTCAGGAAGCAAGGTTGTATCATCTGCATATCACAGGTTGTTAATGACTCATGTTCTTTTTCATATAATCCAGCTCCTCAAATTATTTGCTCAGCATACAGATTGAGTAAGTATGATGACAGTGAGTATGGCTCTCACCTTTCCTAATTCTGCCCATAGAATCCTTCAGTAACACAAGTCACGGCCTGATTTTGTTTTCCTCCACTTCCCTCAACTTGGTAAATGCTGAGTGTATTCTTCTCTTTCGGCTTTTAACTCCAGGTCCTTTCATATTTCATTATAATATTTGACTTTGTCTTCTGGAACTGCCCTTGTCTTCTTAACAATTTTTTGCTTTCTTCCTCTATGATACTCTTGATGTCATCCCACAACTCTTCTAGTCTTCTGTCATAACTATCTAATTCATCATATCTATTCTTCAGATGATCTCTCAATTCAGGTGGGATAAGTTCAAGGTCATATTTTTACTCTCAGGACTTGTTTTAATTTTCTTCAGCTTCAGCCTGAACTTGCATATGAGCAGTTGATGGAGCTGCCCATGGCCTTGTTTTGGCTGATAATGTGGAGCTTTTCCACCATCCCCTTTCACAGATGTAGTTAATTTGATTTCTGTGTATTTCATCTAGTGAAGTCCATGAGTCTAGTCATCTTTTGTGTTGTTTTCAAAAGGTATTTGCAATGAAGAAGTCATTAGTCTTGCAAAATTCTATCATGGAATCTCCAATGTTGTTTCTATCACCAAGGCCATATTTTCCAATGGGTAATCCTTCTTTTTTGTTTCCAACCTTTGCATTCCAATCACAATTGCATGTTTGATCAATTTCAGACTGAAGAAGTAGGTAGAATTCTTCTATTTCATAATCACTGGCTTTAGTGGTTGGTACATGAATTAGAAAAATCACTGTATTAATTGGTCTTCCTTAAAGGCATATAGATATTATCCTATCCCAGACAGCATTGTACTTCAAGACAGATCTTGAAATGTTCTTTTTGATGATGAATGTGACACCATTCCTCTTCAATTTGTAATTTCCGGCACAGAAAATCATGTGATTGTCACATTTTAAATAGCCTATACCAGTACATTTCAGCACATTAATTCCTAGGATATTGATGTTTATGCATTGTTTCATTTTTGACAACTTCCAATTTTCCTAGACTCATACTTTATACATTCCATGTTCCAACTATTAATGGATATTTACAGCTATTTCTCTTCGTTTTGAGTTGTGCTCCATCAGCAAATGAAGATCTCAAAAGCTTTACTCCATCCGGGTCATCACTGTTAACTCTACGTTGAGGCAGCCGCTCTTCCTCAGTCATATTTTGTGCAACAACCAGGACTCTTAAACATTTTTTATAAGGGTATAAAATAATACAACCATTTGGAAAACAGTCTGGCAATTTCTTATGAAATTAAGCATACACAAAGCCTCCAGGAGAGATGGACTAGGTTACACTTCCCCCAACATCGAGAACACTAGGTCATTTTTTAAGACTTTGCCAATATGACAAGTGAACAGCATTTCATTGTTAGTCTTACTCTCTGATTACTAGCAATATAAATTCTTTATAACTTTTCTTGGTACTTTGCCCTGAATGTTTGTCTTTTTCCTACTGATTTTTAAGAGCTTGCTATATAAGGAGCTCTGGTAACGTAGTGGTTACGAATCGGGCTGCGAGCCGCAAGGGCAGCAGTTCAAAACTACCAGCTGTTCCTCAGGAGAAAGATGAGGCGTTCTGCTCCCGTAAAGATTGACAGCCTTGGAAACCCTGTACAGGGTCACTATGAGTCGGAACCGACTCCATGGTAAACAACAATAGCAACATACAAAACGCAGATTTTTATTAAGTCCAGGCTTACTGGACAGGTTGAGACTAGAGGGTTCCTCAAGTTAGTACCCTGAGACACACTTCAAAACTTAAAATGATCACTTGTGGTCACTTGTTAGCTAAATAACAGATTGGATCATAAAATAAAGAATGTCACCCATGAGTAATGAATGAACTTCTTTAAAAGGAAAATTCAGCTCTAGGAGACCAAATGGTCAAAAATCATTCTAAAACTAAGACAGGGAAACTAGAGTACTGAAAATGGTACAACCAGAAAGGATTGAATAAGAATAAAGACACATTGTGAAAAATGTAACCAATATCACTGAATAATTTGTGAAGAGATTGTTAGATGTGAACCAATTTACTGTGTAAAGTCTCGTCTTAAACAAAATAATTTTTTCTTTAAAAAGGGCTTGCCACGAAGTAAATATTTTATTCCTTTAAACCCAAAGCCATTGAGTCAATTCCAACTCAGAGCGACCCTATAGGACAACATAGAACTGCTCTATCGATTTTCCAAGACGATAAACCTTGACAGGAGCAGACAGCCTCATCTTTCTCCTGTGGAACAGCAGGCGGGCTTGAACCACCGACCTTGCAGTTAGCAGCCCAACACTTAACTGTCCTAACAGGGTTCTTTTTACTCCTTTTGCCATAAAACATGCT